CGTCGGCGGCAGAGTGTATCCGCCATGTTGACTGTGGCACCTGCCCTTAGTTTTCCTATACAGACAGTGGAGGCGGCGTGCTTAACACACATCCGGGTTTGTTTTCCGGGAAATAAAAGGGAAAAGACGTCACTCCATCTTAGAAACGTAAAGCGTGTTGTTGCCTAGCAACTTGCCGGCATTTTTAACAAGCTTTATAAACAACTTTTTTTTTCCGCTAGAAAATGAGAGACTCCAAATATGAGATATTTGCTGAAAGCCGAGGCCCCGGAGAATAAAACGGCAGTTGGAGCCAATCTTCGATTCCTTAAATTAATTAAATTTGTTTTCAGAATTTGTTTTGTTTCATTAATTCGTTTTCGAATTCAATTCGAATTTTCGGATTTCGGTTGGAATTGATTTCTATTCGACCAAATCGCAACGTTTTTCATTCAAATGTATTCTATTCGAAATTCGAATTTAAGAAGACGGCGGCTCTATTGTTCAAAATTCTAATTTTCAAAAGACGATTATATTCTATTTTATTCTATTCTTTTCTGTTTTATTATTTTCTGTTCTTTTCTAAATTTGAATTTCAGAAGACGGATATATCCTTTCTATTTTCTAATATTTTTTTCTTTATTTTACTCTCTTCTATTCTATTCTGTTAGAATTCAAATGTATTCTATTCAAAATTCAAATTTTTGGAAGACAATTGTATTCTATTTTATTCTATTCTTTTCTATTCTTTTATGTTCTGTTCTATTCTATTCTGTTTTGTTGTACTCTATTATTTTCTATTGTATTTGAATTTAAATTTATTCTAACCTCCTAGATTGTAAACTCCCAGGATCAGCCCCTCCCCCTTAGATTGTAAGCTCCCAGGATCAGGCCCTCCCTCTTAGAGTGTAAGCTCCCGGGATCAGCCCCTCCCTCTTAGAGTGTAAGCTCCCGGGATCAGCCCCTCCCTCTTAGATTGTAAACTCCCAGGATCAGGCCCTCCTATCCCTCTTGTATTGATCTGTATCATTGCTGTATTGTCTCCCATTATATTGTAAAGTGCTGAGCAAAGTGTTGGCGCCATAAATCCTGTATAATAATAATAATAATAATATAAATCCTGTATAATAATAATAATAATAATCAAAATGTTAATTTTCGGAAGACGGTTCTATTCTAATTCATTCTGTTTTTTTATTTTCTATTCTATTCTGTTTTATTATTTTATGTTCTTTTCTAAATTTGAATTTCAGAAGACAGATATACAGTATTCTTATATTTTCTTTTTTTTTCCTATTTTACTCTCTTCTATTCTGTTAGAATTTTGAATTTGTTCTATTCAAAATTAACATTTTTGGAAAACAATTGTATTCTATTTTATTCTATTCTATTCTTTTGTTTTCTATGCTATTCTTTTCTACTCTTTTCTGTTCTGTTCTATTCTGTTTTGTTGTACTCTATTCTTTTCTATTCTGTTTTATTCTTTTCTATTCTTTTTGAAATTTGAATTTCAGAGGACGGCTACAAACTATTTTATTCTATACTATTGGTTGTTGCAATTTTTTCTTATTTTTATGACTTAGAACCCCCAATATTATATATTTTCTGAAAGCAGAGGCCCCGGAGAATAAAACATTGGTGGCTGCAATTTTTTCATCCTATTTGTATCACTTAGAATCAGGGGCGGACTGACCATTTGGAAACTCGGGCACTGCCCGAGGGCCCAGGGTCAGTAGGGGGCCCCATGAGATGCCCCTGGTACCTTTTTCATAGGCTTTTTGAGTTTGGGCAAGGACACAGGGGCCCCATGATCCCCTATTGCCCGGGGGCCCCATGAGTTGTCAGTCCGCCCTTGCTTGGAACCCCCCGATATTATATATTTTCCGAAAGCAGAGGCCCTGGAGAATAAAACATTGGTGGTTGCAATTTTTTATTTTATATGTATCACTTAGAACCCCCCCAGATATTTAATATTTTATGAAAGCAGAAGCCCTGGAGAATAAAACGGCGGTTGCAGTTTTTTTTGAATCTTTGTTGTATGACGCAGAACCCACAGACATTATATATTTTCTGAAAGCAGAGGCATTACAGAAATAAAAAATGGAGGTTGTCGCAATTTGTTACGTCGTCCGATATTCACGCAGCCACTTATGAAATGCAAACTTTCAGTAAAAGCAAAACACACTGAAATTAAGTTTAGTGCATGCAAACACAAAATATTACCCAATTGTTTTGTAAAAGAGTCCTGCACAGAGTCCTGACCTCAACCCCATAGAACACCTTTGGGATGAATTAGAGCGGAGACTGCGAGCCAGGCCTCCTCCCCCGACATCAGTGCCTGACCTGACAAATGTGCTTCTGGAAGAATGGTCCAACCTTCCCATAGACACCCTCCTAAACCTTGTGGACGGCCTTCCCAGAAGAGTTGAAGCTGTTATAGCTGCAAAGGGCGGGGCCAACTCAATATTGAACCCTACGGACTAAGACTGGGGGGCCATTAAAGGTCATGTGTGTGGAAAGGGCGGGGCCAACTCAATATTGAACCTATGGACTAAGACTGGGAGGGCATTAAAGGTCATGTGTGCGTAGAAAGGGCGGGGCCAACTCAATATTGAACCCTGCGGACTAAGACTGGGGGGCCATTAAAGGTAATGTGTGTGGAAAGGGCAGGGCCAAATCAATATTGAACCCTATGGGACTAAGACTGGGGGCATTAAAGGTCATGTGCATGGAAAGGGCGGGGCCAACTCAATATTGAACCCTAACAAGACTGAGAGGTCATTAAAGGTCATGTGTGTGTGGAAAGGGTGGGGCCAACTCAATATTGAACCCTACGGACTAAGACAGGGAGGCCATTAAAGGTCATGTGGCTGGAAAGGGTGGGGCCAACTCAATATTGAACCCTACAGACTAAGACTGGGGGGCCATTAAAGGTCATGTGTGTGGAAAGGGCGGGGCCAATTCAATATTGAACCCTACGGACTAAGACTGGGAGACCATTAGAGGTCATGTGCGTGGAAAGGACAGGGCCAACTCAATATTGAACCCTACGGACTAAGACTGGGGGGCCATTAAAGGTCATGTGCATGGAAAGGGCGGGGCCAACTCAATATTGAACCCTACGGACTAAGACTGAGAGGTCATTAAAGGTCATGTGCGTGGAAAGGCCGGCCGCCCCAATACTTATAGTGTGTATTCTCAGTACAGGCTCCCCTATGGCCCTTTTGCGCTTTTCTTTTATTCATTTATTCAAGTGATTCAAATGCAACTCAACATTCCAGTTGTAATAATAAAACCCGCATCCCAGACACACACAGGTCCCGCGAAGTGTTAATGCAATGCAGCTCAATAAATACAAAGGCTGATTCCCAGAGAACAACAAAGGCTTTATTTACTATTTATGTTTGTTTTTTATGTGTTCATGTATTTCTTTGTTTATTTCTTTGTTTATTTGTTTCATTCATTGTTTTTATTTTTTTTTTTGCTGCTTTATTTTCACACTGCCTTTCCCATCTGTGCCTCCATGACATTTATCCTACTTGGCACTTTGCAGTAGTGGAGTAGAGGTGACAACGTGACTTTCCTCCAGCAGACAACGATGACGTCGAGCTATTTTAATCCTTCAACCTCTCAGCATCAGCAAGTTAACGTGTCGAATTCTAGAGTTTAAATGTCTTTAAAGCGGAACTTCACTCTCTCCACCAACATGGACTATTCTGAATCCTAACGCTGCTAGTAATGGTAAATAGATGGGAAAGTATTTCATATTTACTTCCATGCACACTAGCTTAACCCCTCCCCCTCCAGAGGATTTCCCCCCCTTCCTGACCAGGTAATTTTTTACGTTACGGCGCTGCGTTACTTAAACTGACAATTGTGCAGTCATGCAACACTGCACCCAAATTAAATTTTTTACCCACAAATTGAGCTTTCTTTCGGCGGTATTTGATCACCTCTGCATTTTTATTTTTTGTGCTATGAGAAAAAAAGACCGACAATTTTGAGAAAAAAAACGATATTTTTGACTTTTTGCTAGTAAACATGTCTAGTACAAAATTTAAAAAAAATTTCATCATAAATATAGGCCACAATGTATTCTGCTCCGTGTCTTTGCTAAAAAAAATTGCAATACGTGTAAATTAATTGGTTTACGTGAAACTTATAGCGTCTACAAATGGCGGGATAGATACTGGGGGGTTTTTTGAAATCTTTACTAGTAATGACGGCGATCAGCAACTCATAGCAGGACTGCGGCGGTCATTCTGGCACTGGGGGGGGAATTGACTTGGTGTCACTGACACCCCCTGTGACACCAATACAGTGATCACTGCTAATAAAAACCACTCACACTGTACTAATGGCACTGGGCAGGAAGGGGTTAACATGTGGGAAGATCAAAGGGTTAACTGTGTGCTGTTTTACATCATGTTTTGTCTTTGTGCTTCACAGTAAGCACACTGCTTTGCATGGCTGTGTTCTGCACAGCCATGCAAAGCAGTGTGCAGGAGCTGACGGGAGAGATCTGTTTTGTCTAGTAACAGATCCACAGCAATCACTGGGCGCCGGCGAGTAATCACCGTCCGGGACCTGATGATTGACAGCCGTAGCCGTGAATGGCGGTGCGGGGTAGGGCACACATGCCCCCTACCCAGAAATGGAAAATCAGGTATATATATATATATGTGTGTGATTTTGGGCACCGCTGCTGCCCTGTAGAAGTATTCTGCTATGGGGTGGCACTAAAGTGGTCCTAGCAGCAGCTTTTGAGCGTCTTTTTTTTCTGCCTCTAGAAGCAAATAGTACACAGGGAATGACAAGGTGATATTTTTCATCATAAGCTCCCCACTGGGCTCTATGAACCGACAACGTCTCGGCTGATTGATCATGGAAAGTGTCAATATCATTTTCTCAACAAAACCTGGCTACTAGCTGGCCATAGAGCGCCTTGGGCTTGAAGAATGCCCCTTACATTGGGGGGTCAGTGGGAAGAATGTCCCTTACATTGATGGTCAGTGGGAAGAATGTCCCTTACATTGGGGGTCAGTGGGAAGAATGTCCCTTACATTGATGGTCAGTGGGAAGAATGTCCCTTACATTGGGGGTCAGTGGAAGAATGTCCCTTACATTGATGGTCAGTGGGAAGAATGTCCCTTACATTGGGGGTCAGTGGAAGAATGTCCCTTACATTGGGGTCAGTGGGAAGAATGTCCCTTACATTGGGGGGTCAGTGGGAAGAATGTCCCTTACATTGGGGGTCAGTGGGAAGAATGCCCCTTACATTGGTGGTCAGAGGGAAGAATTGTCCCTTACATTGGGGGTCAGTGGGAAAGAATGTCCCTTACATTGGGGGTCAGTGGGAAGAATGTCCCTTACATTGGGGGTCAGTGGGAAGAATGTCCCTTACATTGGTGATCAGTGTGAAGAATGTCCCTTACATTGGTGATCAGTGGGAAGAATGTCCCTTACATTGGGGGTTCAGTGGGAAGAATGTCCCTTACATTGGTGGTCAGAGGGGTAAGAATGTCCCCTTACATTGGGGGTCAGTGGGAAGAATGTCCCTTACATTGGGGATCAGTGGGAAGAATGTCCCTTACATTTGTGGTCAGTGGGAAGAATGTCCCTTACATTGGGGGTCAGTGGGAAGAATGTCACTTACATGGGGGTCAGTGTGGGAAGAATGTCCCTTACATTGGGGGTCAGTGGGAAGAATGTCCCTTAAATTGGGGTCAGTGGGAAGAATGTCCCTTACATTGGTGGTCAGTGGGAAGAATGTCCCTTACATTGGGGGTCAGTGGGAAGAATGTCCCTTACATTGGGGGTCAGCGGGAAGAATGTCCCTTACATTGGGGTCAGTGGGAAGAATGTCCCTTACATTGGGGGTCAGCGGGAAGAATGTCCCTTACATTGGTGGTCAGTGGGAAGAATGTCCCTTACATTGGTGGTCAGTGGAAAGAATGTCCCTTACATTGGGGTCAGTGGAAAGAATGTCCTTACATTGGGGGTCAGCGGGAAGAATGTCCCTTACATTGGTGGTCAGTGGCGGGAAGAATGTCCCTTACATTGGGGGTCAGTGGGAAGAATGTCCCTTACATTTGGGGGTCAGTGGGAAGAATGTCCCTTACATTTGTGGTCAGTGGGAAGAATGTCCCTTACATTGGGGGTCAGTGGGAAGAATGTCCCTTACATGGGGGGTCAGCGGGAAGAATGTCCCTTACATTGGGGTCAGCGGGAAAGAATGTCCCTTACATTGGGGCAGTGCGGAAGAATGTCCCTTACATTGGTGGTCAGCGGGAAGAATGTCCCTTACATTGGTGGTCAGCGGGAAGAATGTCCCTTACATTGGTGGTCAGTGGAAAGAATGTCCCTTACATTGGGGGTCAGTGGGAAGAATGTCCCTTACATTGTGGTCAGTGGGAAGAATGTCCCTTACATTGGGTGGTTAGTGGGAAGAATGTCCCTTACATTGGGGATCAGTGGAAGAATGTCCCTTACATTGGGATCATCAGTGGGAAGAATGTCCCTTACATTGGGGGTCAGGGGGAAGAATGTCCCTTACATTGGGGGTCAGTGGGAAGAATGTCCCTTACATTGGAGGTCAGTGGGAAGAATGTCCCTTACATTGGGGGTCAGTGGGAAGAATGTCCCTTACATTGGGGGTCAGTGGGAAGAATGTCCCTTACATTGGGGGTCAGTGGGAAGAATGTCCCTTACATTGGGGTCAGTGGGAAGAATGTCCTTACATTGGTGGTCAGTGGGAAGAATGCCAATATTTATAGTGGTGATCAGACTGCCAACCTTGCAGGCAGTAAAATGACCACTGATGTACTGTCATTGGTACTGCCACGTGGTGTTGGCCAACTTGACCATGGAACTATGTAAGCCCCCCCAAATAGAAGGTCAACCAGCCACAGCTCAAGGGTCCCCTAGCAACCTCTGGAGCAACGTTATTGTTCCATGGAACATTGGTAAAGAATGACGGCTTTAGATGAAACATCATACTGTCCATTGCACATGGAACTGGCAATTCCACGGACATAGTACCACGGCCACGTATTTACCAGAGACAAAAAATTGTCAATATACAGACTACCAGGAACTGCTCAGCTGGGTACACGAGACTGGAAGGAACATGCAAAATATTGATTTCAGGGGAATTCGAATATCTGCAGTAAATTGTTTCCCAGACGTTGGGGCAGCTGGTGATACTCTGACCTCCGGACACCGTGGTCTGCCAATGTACTGTAAGAGAATCCTGTTTACTGACCACCAGCAGAAAACAGAAATATTTATTGTGATAGAGACCAGGAGCTGCTAATAAATCAGAGAGCGCGGATCAGCATCGTACGGTCATATGACCCGAGAATCGACCTTTGTACCGATCATGAGAGCTGAGCCGATCCCGCTGCCAGCGACTTATTAATAGATATTACAATCACAGCTGGCATTCTGCTGCCGCCGATGTCCTTCGATGACTATTACTACATGCTTCTCCATCCGTGATACAGGCGTGTTCCAACATTCGCCTCCCCGGGCAGAAATGGGGACTTTTTTTGGCACTGATAATATAAATCTGACAGATCTGCCAAAAAAAGTCTAAGGATTGCGATGAAATGAAGCCATTGATGATCACATCATTGTTTGGCTCCTTTTTAAATCCTAATGGTAACAGGAATCTCCCCAAATGGCCCGGATCAATAGTCCCCCTCCCCTGGAATGTTCGACCTTGGTACAGGCACACAAGGGGACACACACCGGAGGGTACAATGGCAATTAAAAGGTTCATTTCCCACATCTGTAGCTTTTTTAAATGGCAATGAGTGTCTGTGTATAAATAGTCAATGAGGTAGTTCTCTCTCAAAGGGATGCACTGAGCAAGCTAGGTACTGAGCCATGGGGAGCAGAAAAAAGAACTGTCAAAAGATCTGCATAACAAGGTAATGGAACTTTATAAAGATGGAGACAAATATAAAAAGATATTCAAAGCCTTGAATATGCCAGTCATTGCTGTTCAATCACTTATTAAGACGTGGAATAATTTGAGGATCTCTCGATATCAAGCCAAGAAAGATCGCAGCCACAACCAGTAGTGTATTTAGGTTTTGTGCTGCCCTAGGCAACACAAAAAAATCGTCTGCCCCCCCCCATGGACACCAACCAACACCACCCACACTTCCCCCTCCAGCAGAGAGAGCCTGACATTGCTGACATTGACCAACAACACCCCTGCCCCCCACCAGGGAGAGCCTTCCACTACCCCCCGGTTGGAGAGAAAAAAGACACTCATCTTCACAGCTCCGGACATCCCCGGGAACAAGAGTCAGGCTCTACATACACCATCAAGCAGCCACAGCTTCTCTCAGATCCCACCTGGATCCCATGGCATGCGTGCCCCTTCTTTCATCCCTTCTTCTGGGGGTGAGGTGCTGCCCACCTGAAAACTGCCACCCTAGACAAGTGCCTTGTTTGCCTTGCGGTACATACGCCCCTGGTCATAACTGCAAAAATAATTGTCCAGGGTACAAAGAAAAACACACAGGTCACCTCAGGAGAAATCCAGGCTGCTCTGGAAAAAAAAAAAGACAGTTTGGTTGTTTCAAGGAGCACAATACGACTATACTTGAACAAAAATGAGCTGCATGGTAGAGTTGCCAGAAAGAAGCCTTTTCTACAAGGAAGCCATTGATTTCAGGTATTTTTTCCAAGGGGTGTGCTACCGAATATTACATGGAGGGTGCCAATAATTTCGTCCAGTCCATTTTTAGGGTTTGGCATGGAATGTGTCAGATTTGGCATTTTGTTTCTCCACTTTTTTGTGTCATACCGATACAAACCAAAGAAATAAACATGAGAATGCCGAAACATTTGTCCTTGCAACAATTTTTTGGGTAAAACGGTGCGTTATCTGACAGAAATGCGAGGGGGCAATCATTTTGGACATGACTGTATATATATATATGTAATGGAACCGACACAGACTGCGCTTGAGTACTTCCATTAGAATACAGCTTCCCCGTCCGACAACAGACACCACAGCCGACCATACAAGACTAGACGACACCAGTCTTCAAGTAAACCAGGAAGTAGACTAGTTTATTTTGAACACAGATACAAGATATATACACTCAGGGGACACCCCCCCCCCTGCATAATGACACTGGGCGGGGCAATCTACATATAGTAACAAAATACACACAGGTATTCAAACTTCACACCAGCAGACAGTCCCATCAGGAGGGAGGGCTCCTGGAGACACCCCCCCACTAAGCTAATACACATAAACACATACATACCATAATAGTTTGCTCTCAAGCCAGACAAACAATAGAACAATGGGATGCAGCCACAGAACACCAAACAATCCACAACCCCCCTACCACCACCACCTATCTCCTAGACATGTGTACACAGTTTGAGACAAAGCCCCCCCGATATTAGGAGGGCAGATCATCCTGTACCCCTAACAGGCACAGGGTGACTTACACATAATAGGAATATGGGGAGCTGAGACAGGGTCTCCCCACCTCTCCAAAGTAAGCTGTGTTCCATGGGACTCCCACCCAAAGTGACTACCATCACTATATATATATATATATATATATATATATATATATATATATACAGTGAAGGAAATGCGTATTTGCTCCCCTCTGATGGTGAATGTTCGCCCCTCACACAGAAATGATCGGTCTAACAATGGAATGTTCGCCCCTCACAAAGAAATGATCGGTCTAACAATGGAATGTTCGGTGTAACACTGAGAGACAGAATACAACAACAAATTCAGCAGAAATGCGTCTAACAAATGATGACAGATCTGCATGTTCATGAGGGAAAGAAGGATTTCATCCCCTATCATTCAGCAGGATTTCTGGCTCCCAGGTGTCTCTCATACAGGTAACAAGCTGAGATTAGAAGCAGTCTCTTAAAGGGAGTGCTGCTAATCTCATGTTGTTACCTGTATAAAAGACACCTGTCCACAGGAGCCATCAAACCATCAGATTCCAAACTCTCCACCATGGCAAAGACCAAAGAGCTGTCCAAGGATGTCAGGGACAAGATGGTAGACCTACACAAGGCTGGACTGGGCTACCAAACTATGGCCAAGCAGCTTGGTGAGAAGGTGACAACAGTTGGTGCAATCATTCACAAATGGAAGAAACACAAAACAAGTGTCAGTCTCCCTAGGTCTGGTGCACCATGCAAGATCTCACCTCGTGGAGTGTCAATGATCATGAGAACAGTGAGGAATCATCCCAGAACTACACGTGAGGATCTTGTCAATGATCTCCAGGCAGCTGGGACCACAGTCACCAAGAAAACAATTGGTAACACACTACGCCGACAAGGACTGAAATCCTGCAGTGCCGCAAGGTCCCTCTGCTCAGGGAAAGCACATGTCCAGGCCCGTCTGAAGTCTGCCACTGAACATCTGAATGATGCCGAGGAGGACTGGTGGGAAGTGTTGTGGTCAGAGGAGACCAAAATCCAGCTCTTTGGCATCAACTCAACTCTCCGTGTTTGGAGGAGGAGGAATGCTGCCTATGACCCCAAGAACACCATCCCAACTGTGAAACATGGTGGTGGAAACATTCTGCTTTGGGGGTTTTTTTCTGCTAAGGGGACAGGACAACTGCACCGCATCAAAGGGACGATGGACGGGGCAATGTACCGTCAAATCTTGGGTGAGAACCTTCTTTCCTCAGCCAGGGCATTGAAAATGGGTGGTGGATGGGTGTTCCAGCATGACAATGACCCAAAACACACGGCCAAGGCAACAAAGGAGCGGCTCAAGAAGAAGCACATTAAGGTCCTGGAGTGGCCTAGCCAGTCTCCAGACCTTCATCCGATGGAAAATCTGTGGAGGGAGCTGAAAGTTCGAGTTGCCAAACGTCAGCCACCAAACCTGAATGACTTGGAGAGGATCTGCCAAGAGGAGTGGGCCAAAATCCCTCCTGAGATGTGTGCGAACCTGGGGGCCAACTCCAGGAAACGTCTGACCTCTGTGATGGCCAACAAGGGATTGGCCACCAAGTACTAAGTCATGTTTTGTGAAGGGGATCAAATCCTTCTTTCCCTCATGAACATGCAGATCAGTCATCATTTGTTAGACGCATTTCTGCTGAATTTGTTGTTGTATTCTGTCTCTCAGTGTTACACCCGAACATTCCATTGTTAGACCCGATCGTTTCTGTGTGAGGGGCGAACATTCCATTGTTAGACCGATCATTTCTGTGTGAGGGGCGAACATTCCATTGTTAGACAACATTTCTGTGTAAGGGGCGAACATTCCATTGTTAGACCGATCATTTCTGTGTGAGGGGCGAATATTCCATTGTTAGACCGATCATTTCTGTGTGAGGGGCGAACATTCAGCATCAGCCGGGGAGCAAATACGCATTTCCCTCACTGTATATTATATATGTACACAGTATACAGTCTAGAGTCACTCATTGCTCAGTGGCGTTCCTTCGTGGTCGAACATCTTTTTCTTGTGTTCCTGATACATCCCCCATCTTGATTATCATGACATTTCAAGAGGATCCAATAACTCAGGCAATTTCGGGAGGCATTGTTTCCCGCATGCTGTTCAAACAACCGTCATTTTTTCCCAAACAGTCTTATTACACGTGGCGGTGAAAAACCCGTCCATGTTCGTGCGTCCAGCAGAAGATGAAATCTCTTGCCTCGCGCTGGATTTGTTCCTCCTTTGAT